GCAGTCAGCACCATAGTTGAGTATTTCTGCCTTGAAAGTTCAACATACCGATGATCAGAAACACAGATTCAGGCTTGTGGGGTTTCACATAAGGAACCAATCCTGTCAACTTCTGAGGTGGAACTTTCTTTATCGATATTCTTCTTTAGAAACCAGCTCAAACATGTTCTACTGATTTACTCCAATATTCCAACTTGTCATTGTGTAGTGCAGTTTTACAAGGTTTGGGCAGAGCTGTTAGTGAGCTGGTGTGCTCGGCAAGGACTTCATAGAGCTGCTTATTCTAGAGGAAACAACAGTCATCTAAGGCAGGACGGGATTATTTTCATGGCACAAAAAAACAACAACTTCTAAATACGTAGTTTCGAGACACAGAGATGGATTTGAACCCCTCGTGTCCAAACTGCTCTGAACTCTAAATGACAAGAAAATGTTTTGGAATGCAGAGGCACACAGGAACATTTCGTGCACTCAGAATATCCTCGACCGGCTCAGCCATTCACCTAATCATAATCCAATTGAACCGCATTCCACTTGTTGAAGACTGAAGTGAAGGCGAAGAGATCGCACAGCAGGTCGGAGCTGAATGACTGAAAACCTGCAAGAGTATCATCAGGGACGACACAAAGCACCCGGTGGCTTCAGACGATCATCGATGGTAAACTATGTCCCACAAAATATTAAATGTCATTCGACTCCTTGGGTCTGTCTAATTATTTTGGACACTATGGGTTATAAGTCACACACGGTTCTTTCAGTACAGATGTATCCCAGACTGGACATTTTAATGTGGTAAACACATTATTTCAATTGCAATATGCTAAAGCGTGGAGCCTGAAGTCTAAAGTCTGGACTAGATGTGTTTGTATTAAAGGTACGATATAGAAACATGTGGGACAACCCAGTCAGTGTCACTCTGAGGATGGCATGAAAAACTAAACTGCACAAAATGGAGGATGAGAAATAAAAACAAATAACTTGTTTACATTCGTGCCGTGAATCTGCGTCACGCTGTGAGGAGATCAAATGATAAAAGGTTCATCTACAGTCTGCACAACTCCAACCAAAGGCTGTGATCAAAGAGCGAGATCAAGTGTGCCTTGTTTGTGAGAGACACAGTCAGAGATGAAGAGCAACAGCAGGAGAAAGTTAAAAGGTGAGAGTTTGCATAGTTTTGTGTGGCTCAGATCCTGCTGGCAATCCCCATCTTCTAACTAAACTAACAAAGCAGGACAGCAGCTTCCAAATTGACCCATCAGAGCTTTTTCCTGATCTGGCATCCCTTCTGGTAGGAGTAATGGTTAGGATTATAAATATAAAACAACATGTAAAGGTTAAGGAAAGATTGAGCGCTAATCTGTGCTGGAACGCAAACTCCTGCCTCCCACATGTTGGACTCTTTTACTTTCCACTTCGGTACGAAAAGGGCACGGTCCTCCCTGTAGTGGTGATGAAGGGCATGAACTGGGTGTTGCAATGTTGTGAACTTAAATTCTTCTTAAACACAAGCGTACCAAACTGTTTGAACAAATGGCTGCTGTCATTTTTTTTCTGGTGTGTACAGTGTCCGTAATATCCTGCTGAACAGTTTAGTCCATGATCATAAACAGTGATTACCTTCGTCATTCAAACAAAGTGAGCCACGCATTCACGTCAATGCTTGCTTTCACTTTTGACTAGAGATCAGACTGTCCTCCCACAAAGCAAACATCAGCACCAGCTGTTTGATATATAAGTGACAGAGATCTCTAGTGGCTGTAGAAGATGGGAACAAAGAAGAAAACTGGATGGTGCCTCTACCGCATTAAAAAGTTTGAGTAAGTCTTTAAAGACTCCTTTGTAGCCAACACAAATAGCATAATCATGGTCCTTCCCAAACCTTAACCACATGTTAGTCATTGTAACTACAGTTTGACTGATGGGATGTTGACCGCAATATAAAGCTAGATTCTGTAAGTGAAGACTATTTAGTTGCTCTCCTGTTCTCGTGTTCATACCGTATTTGAAAAATTGTAAATTCATGGCTCTGTGGGGGTTTGTGATCTCAGGGATTATCTGCTTACTCAGATTGTTCCAGAGCATCACGAGCAGAGTCACCGCCAAACTAAATGTATGTGATCCCAAATAAATGGTTAAAATCTGACAAAGTGTCCTGTCTGAAATGTGCCAAAAGTGCTGCGGTGTTTGGCTTTGCAACTAAATCCATGACACTTAATGCCAAGAGATGCTTACAGAACAGGAATCGGCCAAATATTCAAAATGTTTAGATGAACAGCTGGTGTCATTAAACCTTAGCAGAAGAAAGCTGATAGCTGAATGGGTTGAATGCGTATCACATGAGTGTAAATGCCTCCAACCATAGACTGTATAAAAGATGGACGTAGCAACCGGCCCTGAAAAATGAAGCCAACCC